ATGAATTTGACATCAGCTTACTTGGAGAGGCACATGAGTGGAATCAACGACGAGGTAATTACTGTACAACAAAAGTAATGTGTAGTTTATCTAACTGAAGTCAAGTAGGTCATTACACCAGACTAGAGCTCCAGTCTGGCAGCTTCCCCTGTGATGTTCTTGAGTAAGAAACTTTACTTGTCTAGTAAATGGTTTGTATCCTGTGGTATCATAAAATATTTTGTTGTCACTGACTAAAAAAAACTTCAAAATGGGTTACTTCTATTAAAAACTATAACTCTCTTTCTGTCTATAAACACTGTGCAGATCTATGTATGTTGTACAAATGCAAGAATCTAGCTTACATGTAAGTAGCAGGCTTTTCGAGCTGACAAGACGTGAGAACCTCTCTTGGGAATAGCCCGTGCATGTGTAAATATTTGGAATTCATTAATGCCATTCTGTAGTCGTACTGGATAATGGAATTCTGTAATAGAAATCGGTAGGCAAATCAGATGACAAGGTAGCACTTAAGCTTCCAGAAACAATCTTTGTGACCACTAAGAAAAGCAGTCAACAGTTTCCACAGCATCAAAGTTATAAAAAAAATTTGATGTCATTGTGATTGTTACTCAGTAGTATCATTGAATAGTAATTGTTCAGTAGTAATATCAATATATCAGATAGTGTTATTCAGTGCATGCAACATGGTAGTCATGGAAAAAATATTGTTAATGACTAACATAATTAACATTTCAACAATCAGCTGAACATCGCCTTTATTTTGGGATGGAATTTTGAATATTAAAATCTAAAAGAGTGATGTGGCAATCAAAGATAAAACACGGTTTGTTGTTTTTTTTCTTGCAGCTAAAAGTGCTTTAGAAAAACATCAATCTCCAGTCATCATTGACAACACCAACACTCAGGCTTGGGAGATGAAGCCTTATGTGTCTATGGTAAGAGAATTTATATAGCTTAAAAGACCATTTTGCTGTCATGGTATCAGTGCATGTTCTTCCTTGAAAGTCAAAGAGTGCTAGAATGCCATTGAGAGGTTGTTATGCTCTTATCTGTTTCCAATCCAAACTGAAAGTAAGAGTMAATGGGAGCTAATGGAACAGAGCTGAAAAAGAGTTATTGTTATCAACTGACCACATGTATATTCAGTGTGGGTTCAACCAAGCTGAGAGTATCTGAGCTCCACTTGGCATTACAATCGAACCTCCAGTTGTGACCACCTCTTGTAAGCAACCACCTCTCCTGAGTGACCAGTTTTCCAAAATACCAAAAGTTTCTGAGTCAGATCACTATATTTGGAACTTCTTGTAAGCGACCACCTCTCGTAGGTGACTGCGACCACTTTGAGAGCTAAATATTTGAAATTTGCTTTCTTTTTTAACTCCTGTAAGCGACCACTTGACTGATAATAGAGCAGAAATTGGATAATAAGGTGTTGTAACAATATTGTATTCCTGGATAATACAAAAGAGGGAAATTTCTCAATGGGAAGTATTGTATTTTTCTCGAAATTGACTAATTCTCTTATGAATAAAACTTTTAAACCATGGAGTAAGTCTCTGTAGTTACCTTATGCTAATGAGGCAAAATTGTGACCCAATATGGTCTAAGCTCAAGTAAGTGACAACCTCCCATAAGCGACCACCTAGTCTTGGCATTTTTGGGGGCCGCTTACGGAAGGTTCGACTGTATGTGCCTCTCCAATGCAATTAACAGAGCTCTTGTTCCCTCATGGAAATTTGAGCAGCTTCAAATCGGTCTTGTCTGAGGTGTCCTTTACTTACCTCTGACTCAAAACTAGTGCCAGTGTACAGTTTGTTTTGCAAGACAGTGAAATGAGAAATGGTGATCTACCAGATTAGAGAGTGAGAGATAAAACATTCAAATCTCGTTTGATCAAGCCTTTAAGTTTGGATTTTATTATCTTTTTTTAGGCCTTGAAGTACGGTTACCACATCAAATTTGTTGAACCGGACACCACATGGAAATGGAATGTTAAAGAACTGGCAAGGTGTGTTAAGCACT